ACGGCACTGTATTGACATACATAATTCCACCAAGCTTGACATACTGAGCTGCTCTCCACTTGGTTGTATTTGCTGTGACTCGACCACTTCTTGTTGTTGTATAAACAAAGTATTAGCTTCAATAGCGTCATTTGCATTTGATAATTTGGATAGTATTCTTTACTTTTATTATTATCTTTATTTTTTGAAGTAGACATGCACGAGTTTTTGTTTGGTGGCCCAACCGTGGACATACAAAAAAATTGGTGGCCCATCGAAACTGCCCAAAGATTTTCCATGGCCCATCCCAAATCACTCCAGCCCACCCTAGCTGTTACTTTATGACCGGTCCCTAAATGTATTAGAAAATGCATCTACCACAATCAAATATTAAGCATTATTATATTATATTCAGGAAAAGCTAATTTTGGTATGCAACACAATGTGATTATGTGACGTTGATGTAATATTGACCGAGATACAAATTTTTGAGTTTGCCATACGTTTCAAAAGTTAGTAAAAGACAACATAGAACGCTTATTAAACTAATAGCTATAATATACTTATAAAATACGCCACAATGATATCAGGGTGAAAACATTGCACTAACCTTCTCAGATCCCTGTAATGTGAAATTCTTCCTTCTATTCTACGACGAAATTCATCAAAAACTCTGGCCTTCTCAAGACATTGCTTAGAATAAGATGACAATAATGCACATCGTTTTTCAAGGTCACGCCTTTTTGTGTCGACGTCCGAAAGCGAGCGCTCTGAAAGTAATAAGAATTTTTTTATGCCAGTCGGAAAATCTTTTTTCAGTTGATCATGTGGCATTGCCACAACACAGAAACATTTCAAGAAGCAATACTGTGTACAATGGAGGCAATTTTTGGCGCCACGTTGTACCATAAAGGGAGCAATAAAAAACATAGGTCGATCGGTACAGTAAGCAAACAACCCAACCACATCCAAAATAACATTAGGGTCGACAAGAAAAGAGGATCGGTCGGGAAACCCGAACCACATGACATTTATTGATAAGCCTAATGATTTTTCGCAGATAGCCGCTTATAGAAACATGCTATTCAGTCTTAAACTTAAAATCTCATGCTCATTACCAATTCACGAAGAAATAAGCATCATATTGCGGTATATTGGTCACATGATGTGAAGTATATATGGTACCTAATTAGTTCACAACACTTTTCGTAGTGATTCATTGATTTGCAGGGAGAATTCCAAAAACCGCAAGTTCGGGCTGACTAAATTTCGCGTTCTTATATTAAGCTCCAGTTGAAGTCGGTTCCAGTCCTCATTTTCAGCTATGAAATATCACGTACAAAAATGACTTACCAATCCGTAAAATTTCCCTTTCAGGATGATGGACATCTTTCTCGACTTGCTTGATCTGTGATTGTAGTTCGGCTATTCTTTTCAAAATATTTAAGTGTTCGGTGTCTTCTTCCTTTAAAGCACCTTTGGAAGTTCTCTTATGAAGTAACGAAGAACTATGCGGCAGTGTGTTAAGGATTAAGAGATAAAACTATTTGCCCCATTTTATATAATTGTAATACTCGGCGTACGAAACAATAGCACCGAGGTGGTACCCTATTAATCCTTCAATATTAACCTTGCTACATAACACTGTTAAAGTAAAGATGCATTCGCCCAATTTCGAAATTCGCATACATGCACATTCATTTTCGTATTAAAATTAACATTTTATTTTCTGAAAGAACAGCCGTAAAATGAACATAGATTTCTATACTGGAGGGAACTTTCGATGCCATAAAGTTTGCAAGTATATTATTGTACGAGTTGTGGGCTTGATTTACACAGTGCAACTCAAGTTGTAAGCAGGTCGCATGCGACAGTTTTAAATCGGTCTTTATGTAAATCGGTCTTTATGCAACAATTTCACACCATTTTTTTATGATTGATCATGAATTGTAAAGAAAACTAAAAATTACCAAATAAGATACTTTGCCCAACTTGCTCCGTTCTTAAGATATTTAACAATTTTCGATATGCAAATTATCCTCACTATATATGACGTCACATTACATTATGACTTTCTGATAAACCTTCAAGATCTTGGGATATCATGCATTGAAATTACAAAAACCGTGCATAGATGTCAACATGCTACAAATATGATATTTGCTGTGTTGGTGTGGTGTACTCAGGTGAATGTGATGTTACTCTGAGAGTATATCTACACCGGGCAGGCTCGAAAAACATGCCTGGCCACGGTGGGAATCGAACCTACGACCAATACTAGCCCAATGCTCTGGCAACTGAGCTACGCGGTCAGGTCGGTTCGAGTATGTGATATTTCGAAACTGAGTCAAGTTCCTCCGATATTAGTGTAATCTAATAATCATGATATTTGCTGTGTTGTTGTAGTGTACTCAGGTGAATAAGATGCTTGTGATGTTACTCTGAGTGTATATCCACACCGGGAAGGCTCGAAAAACATGCCTGGCCACGGTGGGAATCGAACCTACGACCTTTGGAATACCAGCCCAGGGCCAGGCATGTTTTTCGAGCCTGCCATGTTTTTCGAGCCTGCCCGGTGTGGATATACACTCAGAGTAACATCACAAGCATACTACAAATATATGTTGCATGTCGACAAATTTGAATCATTTGTTCATGAGAGTTGTAAGCAGTGTGGATTATAACAATTTTGCTTAGATCTGCCAAATGTCCCTTCAACTGTACAGATGCTCGGACATTGGCTAATAATGATCGGCCAGCGATTCAATATTTACATAATAATATTTATAGCTCGTGCTGATCACATCCTGCACGATCAATCACATTATACATAAGTTTTGGTAAGCAGTTCCCACGATCCATGCAACCGCAAAGTTCTTGGTCCCACGAAAACTGTTTTCGAATTGTCTATACATGGCTGGTACAATGGCCTGCACGGTATCATAGGCTTGTGACGTGATTTTGTTGCCTGTTACAGCGAAGACGAAAAAATCGGTTCTTTGTTCCTTCACTTGCTTTTATGCTTTTTGAACAGCACTAAACAAATAATATACTTTTGATGTATTTGATTGGTTAAAATGTCCGCGCAGAACAAAATTGGTCGGTCATTTAGTGTTTTTGTTAACAAGGATAATTTGCGTATCAAGCATTGTTAAACATCTACAGACTATAGCTCAAGAAAGAAACAAGAAGAATAGAAAGATTAGATCAAGATTAGAACAAGCTAAGATAGTTTGGCAAAGTATCTTAATAGTAGTTTTGAATGCAGTCCGGCATAAAAAATGTTGCGAAATTTCGTTGCACAAGAACTATAAGATTCCAAAATAAATTAAATAATGCATGATAATATAAGGTAATTTTAACAATTAGGTAATCTTAATTTTATATAAAGGTGCACAAGCCAAAATCGGAATCTAAACGAATTTACCTTTATCTGCGAGAGCCTTATACGCGGGGCAGTAAGGTACTGTATATGCATGGTTTGATAAAAAAGATACAGTTTAAGATTTCCTTTTATAGTCTGCACCTTCCTAATATGTAAGAAAAATCAAGTAGTAATTGTAGCTAGATAACGTTCAAAAACGAAATGCTCTAAATAGCTGCTCTATAGTTCTTAAAGGGATATCACAATAAAAATTTGAAAGAACTTTTAAAATTACGTGGGTCCGCTATCTTGGATTATTGCAGATATACATGACTGCATATATGTCACAAGTATGCCGTCAGGTAAATGTTTTACCCAGATATGCAATGATCATTTTGAGCCCAAAATTATACTTTCGTCACTATTTCAATAACAAATACACCGACGACATTTTAAGCATGGCGGACATCTCGTTGTCAGTCAAAATACATGTATTTCAAGAACTAAGCAAGACATTGTGAAAAGATGCGCTGGAGGCTGGGTACTAACAGTCCCTTGCGTTGAACTTGGGCTCCTCCTTAACTTTGTGTGATTATAGTTTTAAAGAATTTTTGATATTCTATAACTGGATGAACTAGCTTTGTACGTTTCTAGCATTTTATATACCGATTAAAGTATTTAAAGTTATACTGAGTAACTTTACATGGTACGAGGAGTGAAACATGTCTGATCAAGAAGCCGAAGTTGAGTCGTCTACGCCGTTTCCAAGTCAAGTTATTCAGATACCTGTAAATTGACCGTTGCCTAGTCAATTGTCCATGACTAGAAATCTTGCTACGAATTGGGGACTGTTTAAGCGTGCGTGGAATAACTGTGAAATAGCAGCTAGATTAAAGGATACAAGTCATCCAGAGGCAAATAAAGAGCTGAGAACAGCGACTTTGTTAACGTGTATTGGATCTGATGCATTAGATGTTCATGATGGGTTTGATTTTGTAAGTCCAGAGCAGGTAAAAGATATAGATGTTATTTTACAAAAGTTTGAGAATACTTTTATTGGAGAGACAAACGAGACATATGAACGGTATCGTCTTAATAAGCGTGATCAAAACCAGCATGAATCTGTGGATGCATATACTACAACCCTACGCACTGTGGTCAAAACATATAATTTTGGCCAATTGGAAGATGATCTGATACGAGATCGGATTGTGATGGGTATTAGGGATGATGCAACAAGGAAGAAACTTCTCCAAGTGGCAAAGCTTACCCTTACTCAGTGTGTTGACATCTGCAGATCATATGAAAAAACATCAAAACAACTGGAGTCGATGAAAGCTGAGGCAGTCCTGGGCCTAGACAAGCAAATCTCCAAGCAACCTGAAAACCCGAAGAAAAGAACTGATGAAGAAGAAACGATAAGATATATGTTCGGCGGCAAATAGACTTGGTTCAAGTCCGTCTCTCAAGGGGTCGAAAATAGTGCATGCAAGCGGTCAAAAAAGGCGCGAAAATATGAGAGAAAAGTAGGGAGAGACGGACTTGGAAAGTCTTGGATACCCTGCAAGCGGAGGCATGGCTTGCGAGTTGAGAACAACAACAAATTTTCGAACCAATTTTTGCAAGTAACATTCGGAATGCTGCAAATGTCCCAAGTCCATCTCTCCCTACTTTTCTCCTGAGACGGACTTGAACCAAGTCTAGGCGGCAAAATGCATGTTCGAGACAAGTTCCAATGCTCAGCCTGGGGAAAGTATGTTCTTTGTGTAAAAGGAGGAATCACTTTGCAGCAGCCACATGTAATAGCAAAGCAAAGCCAAATTCTCGAAAGCGATTTCCGGGCAACAGAAGAATGGTGTCTGGTGTTGACCATGATATAGATTGATCTGATGAATACATAGCCATGCTAACCATCAAGAAAGATGCGAGTGAAGTTTATTTAGAAGAAAACAATCCCAAACCGTATGCATCTATGACGATCAACGGTCGACTGGAAACTTTCTGTTAGACTCAGGAGGAGCTACTGTCAATGTGTTATCAAAGAGAACATTTGGATCAATTTTTCAAGAAGGCAGTCGAAAAAAAGATTGAAAAGACCAACACAATCAATGGAACTGAAATCAAACCATTGGGTAAGTCACGGTTTCAAGTTATAAATCCAAAGAATTTGAAGAAATACAGTGTGGAATTCATGGTGGTCAAAGAGAATTGTAAGTCAGTATTCGGTGCGAAAGCCAGTATTCAAAAGAAGCTACTTCAAGTAAATAAAGAGAACATATTTGCTTTCAAGTCACTACGTGACACTATTTCACCAGCCACTGACAGAGGAAGTGCTTACCAGGGAGTATGCAAAGCTTTTTTGAAGGTGTTGGCCTCCTACCTGGAGCACTACTGTATTTGGAGATAGACAGTGGTATCCCTCTGATACAGCTTCCAGTAAGAAGAATCCCACTTGCTGTAAAAGATAAGCTTAAAGATGAGCTTGATCGCCTTGTCACGCTGAAGGTCATCACTCCTGTTGACACTCCTACCGACTGGATTTCAGCTACTGTTGTTGCCATCAAGAAAGATGGTAACATCCGGCTGTGTCTTGACCCTAAACCGTTAATCACCAGTCCCGAGACAGCCCAGATCACTGAGAACGAAGATGTGAGGTGCCTACATGATACAAGATCAGCCACAGAACAGGGAGTAGAAGAAATTGATATGCTAAGAAATTTGTCAGTAAAAGATTCCACCCTGGGCCAAATTAAACAGGCAACTGGAGCAGAAAGCACATTACAAGCGTTAGTGACAGTAGTTAAAGAAGGTTGGCCAAGCAAAATGAGTGATGTTCCACCAGTGTTGTATCCTTTTCATCCATTCCGAGATGAGTTGACGGAGTACAATGGTGTAAGGTGAGCATTTAATTGTTCCAACAAGCATGCTGCATGAGACCAGAAATGATTGAAAGGCTCCATTGCAACCATGGAGGTATACAAGTTACCCCACGTAGAGCGCGTGATGTATTCTACTGGCCGGGCATGAATCAAGAAATTGAAAGGTTTGTTGCAAGTTGCAGTATATGTTCGGCATATCAATCGGTTAACCAGAGAGAGCCTCTCATGAGTCACCCGGTTCCAACACGATCTTGGCAGTACATTGCAACGGATTTGTACTACCTTCGAGGAATGGACTATTTGGTGACTGTGGACTATTACTCTAACTTTATCGAAATAGGCCGACAAATTAAAAGCACACATGGCCCGACATAGAATTCCCGAGCGTGTGGTTAGTGACAATGGCCCACAATACAACTCTGATGAGTTCCGTATCTTTGCGACAAAGTATGAATTTGAACATGTGACATCCTCACCAGGATATCCACAATCCAATGGTAAAGCAGAAAGTGCGGTCAAAATGGCGAAATGCATAATGGAAAAAGCAGCAGTGCCAAAACAATACCCCTATCTAGCTCTATTAGAGCACATGAATACACTATCAGATGGAATGAGTACCTTCCCTGCCCAAAGACTCTTTGGAAGAAGAACAAGGACCAGACTCCCAACATCTACTCGACTGCTAAAACCAATAATGGAAACGAAGTCCACGAAAGAGGAGCTAGAAAAGGCCAAATCCAAGCAAGCATTACACTATGATCGTGGTGCAAAAGTCTTCAAAGCTAAATGTTGGAGATATATAGTTCGGATGATTCCTAAGAAGGGGACGAAAACGTGGGCTAATGCAAAAGTGACTATAGAAGTAAGTCCAAAGTCATATATTGTTACAGCTGGAGATGGAGCAAGGTATGGGCGAAACCGCAGACACCCAAAGAAAACGTTAGAGCCAGATATGGAGGAGACTAATATTGAACTGCCTTTGAGAGTTTGAGGAATGACAATCAAGAAGATACAGATGACCAGCAGTCTGTCACTGATAACCCAGTGGATACCCCAGCTGAAAGCGAGATATTGTCATTGCCCAGTTCTACTACTGCTCTAGCAACCATGAATGCCAACAAAAGACAAACACGTATAGACCAGCATACCTAGATGACTATGTGACAGATATTTAAGAAAGAAAACAAACCTTTTAACGAATGCAGATGTGAAAGGATGCGCTGGAGGCTGGGTACTAACAGCCCCTTGCGTTGAACGTGGGCTCCCCTTAACCAAAGATTAGATACTATAAAGATGTGTCACTCTGCGAAAATTATGTCCGAGATTTTTTATAGCCGCCATTTTGCCAGTAAGTGTCAAATTCGTCAAAATTCGTCATATAGCGCGAGCATCGCGATGGCAACCTATTGTATTC